TCATACTATTTTTTTTTTTTTCCCCTGTGTTGTTTTTGTTATTATTTACTCTATAAAACAGATGAAACCACATGTTATGCAATTATTTATTTTATGAAACTAATTTAAAATTTTTATATATCTGACGACATGCATTTTACCACTTACTTCTTAATTTGTAAATAACACTCAATATAAATAAAAAATAATATATTGATTATAAACACCAAATAATATTAAACACGAAATGAATTTTAAATTATAAATTAATATATAATTTTATTAGAAATTGACATTTAATTTTATCCAATTTATATTTAACTTTGTCAAATTAATATCAAATTAATTTTTATTGTTATCAAACTAATATTGAAATTAATTTAATCAATTTTTTTGAGTACTAAATTATATTATTTTTTGGGTATTAAATCAAATTTTATTTGATTTTATTAAATTTTTTNATCAATTTTTTTGAGTACTAAATTATATTATTTTTTGGGTATTAAATCAAATTTTATTTGATTTTATTAAATTTTTTTATTTTTTTGGTACTAAATTTGGAGAAGGGCAATTGTAAAAATAATAAAAAAAAATGGGATGAAATTATCAATTTCTGTTTGTGACATTGACAGAAGAGAGACAGAGGGGATCTCTGTGCAATGAATTTCAAATCTTAGGGGATCTTTATGTTATTTATAAAATGTCATGAGGTGTTTGTGTAATATTGTAAAAATTAGGGGATGTCCATGATTTTTACTCTATTNAAAATAATAAAAAAAAATGGGATGAAATTATCAATTTCTGTTTGTGACATTGACAGAAGAGAGACAGAGGGGATCTCTGTGCAATGAATTTCAAATCTTAGGGGATCTTCATGTTATTTATAAAATGTCATGAGGTGTCTGTGTAATATTGTAAAAATTAGGGGATGTCCATGATTTTTACTCTATTTTTTAATTAAACATTATTTTATTATTATTTTATCTTAAAAACTTAAATTATTGTATTTCTAATAAAAATATTATTGGTTATGAGGGTGTGTTGGTAACCAAAAAAGAAATATGTGTTTTTATGTATATTTATATGTGGAGGATTTGACATTTGGTGATATAATTTATGATTATAATGTGTNAATAAAAATATTATTGGTTATGAGGGTGTGTTGGTAACCAAAAAAGAAATATGTGTATATGTGTTTTTATGTATATTTATATGTGGAGGATTTGACATTTGGTGATATAATTTATGATTATAATGTATCATTTGAGGTTGAATAGTGATAGTGGTGATAAATTCATAAGTTTTATAAATGAGTAAAATTTGATTAATTTTATTTATAGCTTAAAAATTGTGAATTTAATTGTGTTCTGTTAAATTTTTTTTTTTTTTTGCTTAAGGTATTTATTACATAGGGATAGAGTGGATTGAAAATATAGTAGTTGAATTTATAATTATGTTGTATTATTGAATTGAGTTGTAGTAGATGTGATGAATTCGTGAGTCTTATAAATAGCAAGATTTTATTTATTATTTAAAAATTATAAATTTCAATAGGTTATGTTAGTATTTGTTTTTTTTTTCAAAGGCATTTATATATATGATGTTATTTTTAGATTCTTTATATATTTTTATGACAGTTCCATTAATATGGAGGATATGATTGATAATATATTTTTGTAGCTATTTTAAAAGAAGAGTTTGTATGAATATTTTTAGGTCATTCCTTTTGAATTTGAGCAATTGTTTAAAAAAAATTTATTTGTTATATATTGTCTTCAGGCACAAGCAATGACTAATTAGTTAATAAATGAATTAGAGGTCGAAAAAACCTTCGTCACAAGGTTAAAAATAATAAAACAACTAATGTGCATATGGTACTAACATTACTTCTTGGGTTCGTTTTGAAATAAGTCATCAAAAATTTAAAAAAATTCACAAAAATATTCAAAAATAAAATAAAAAGAGAAAAAGCATCAAAAAACTATATTATTACAAATGTGGGTTGTAAAAAAGAAATTAACAAAGAGAAAGATTAATATTGGTACATTTTAATATTATATATAATTTATTGTACCAATATAATATATATATGTGAATCTTGTTGTGCAATATATAATATTGATACATATATCATACCTACTCCTATGCATGAATCATATTTATGAGATGAATATATAATGCATATATATGAACTTGATGCATACATGTATCTCTTATTAACTTCTATATATATATCATATTTATTAGATGCATATATAAACTATATTCATGAACTTTACCCATGCACATTTATGTATGACTTAGGTTTATAAATTAATTATTAATACATACATGTATGACTTAGATACATTTATGGCAACTATGGTTGGCAACAGTGATGATGGTGGGGGTTTTTGGGTGACGATGTTGGTAGTGGTAGCCATAGTTTAATGTGGTGGTGGTGGGTGATGGCGAATGACGGCGATGGTGGTTGGCAATAGTGGTGGTGGGGCAACGCGGTGGGGGTGGCGATGGTGGGCAACAACAAATGCTTTTTGTGGGTGACAGTGATGATCGGTGTTGACAAATAACAATGGTGGTGATAGGTGTGATGGGAGTGAGTGACAATGGGTGATGACGATGGTGGGGGGTGACGGCTGGTGGTAGGTGTTGTGGGGGTGGGTGACGGAGGTAGGCGACGACTGATGGTGGTGGGTGGCGATGAGTGGTGGTGGATTGTGCTAGTGGATGGTGGTGGGCGACGATAGTAATGGTAATAAGTATAAGAATAAGATAATAATGATTGTGGGTGCTGGCGGTAGGCGGCAGTGATAGTAATCGATGGTGGGTGACAACGATAATAATGGTGATGAGTGGTGATTATGGCAAAAGTGGTGATGGGGTGGCAACGGCGGCGATGGCGGTGAAGTATTTTGCAGACAAGTGATTTTAAGAAGTAATTAAAATAAATTGTTCTAAATAGCACTTTAAAAAAAAAAAAAGTGTTTATGATAAGTCATAAATCTTAGAAGAATTTTTGAAAAAGTTGTCCCAAATAAACACTTAGAATGCCTATTTGTCCTATTAAATTTGAAGAGTTAATATTAACCGTTCAATCAATTTTAAATAAAAATTAAAATGATATCAACCACGAAAAATAAAAATTATTTTTTATATTGTGTTTAATAATATTATATAGATGTGTTGCTTACCAATCTAAATCATACTGGTATATACATCAATATATGAATTCTGAAATCAAGATATGTAAATATCAAAAAAATTGTACAAACATGTCCTTAATCACAAGATGGGAAAGAGAAAATAAGGGGAAGGAAGAGAGAAGTTGAGATAATAAAGATAAAGTGTATTCTTATCATTAAAATATATGCTTGTATTTATTGACAAAAAAAAAATGCTAGAATATTCTATTTTTTAATTTTCACAAATTTTAAAATGGGTCAAATTGGGAACAGAGAAAACCAAATTTAAAAAAAAAAAACAAATATAATGATCTGTACGTCTTCCAAAAATTCCTTTGGATTGACCAAATTAACAGTCATGAGCTATAGAATTTTTAGATGGCTGGGTCAGACCCATTTTTTGACCAGCCCATTTCCAAACCGTGGGTTTTGTGCCCGGCCCTTTACGAGCCGGGCCTTACTTTTGACGTTGAAGTAGCAAAATTTAGCCCAACAAAATAAAGCCAATAGATGTTTTGTTGAACGGAATGACTCAAAAAAAAAAAAATGCTCAAATTAACAAAGTACAAAGCTCATCACTAAACAAGTATAAATGCAACTCTCAGTCCGTTCAACCAACCAACTCTCTTTTTCTCTTCCCGGTAAGTTTCCAAGTCATTTTCCCGCCTGCGTGTTTGATCAAACACTTCCTCTAGTCAAGTGTGGGCTCCACACTTTGGACCCACCAAAGACTTTTGTGTCAAAGACCCNTGGACTAATGATTTCATTTCAATTCAAAGAGCGTAACACATGAGGTTTACAGGTTGTTTTCGAAATGAACTTTATTTTTTTTAAAATTTAATTCTGGTATTTTCAAATGTAAGCACAAACCTTAAATTTATTACCTTTTTTTTTTTTTTATGTAAAAGCATTTTTTCAAAAAAAATGTTAATAGAAAACTAAAAATGTATTTTAAAATATACACATTCCATAAACCATGTTTTTATAAAAATAGAAGTAATTTGAAAAAAAATTGAAATTAAATAATAGCAAAACTTAAGTTTCAAAATTAATTAGCAAAGCGATTAACAATATTTTATAAAACTCAAAAAATTGTATGAATGAGTTTCAATAATTTTTTCAGTGAGATCCACTCATCCGATATTCGTTTAAGCAACGGCATGTATTTGGATTTTATTTGAGTTATATGATATTTTTTTGTAAATNAAAAAAAAAATTGAAATTAAATAATAGCAAAACTTAAGTTTCAAAATTAATTAACAAAGCAATTAACAATATTTTATAAAACTCAAAAAATTGTATGAATGAGTTTCAATAATTTTTTCAGTGGGATCCACTCATTCGATATTCGATTAAGCAACGGCATGTATTTGGATTTTATTTGAGTTATATGATATTTTTTTGTAAATTAATTATCCCTTTGGGCGTGGTCCCCGAGGGGGTGGGGTTTCAGTCAAAGTCAAAAAGATAAATTCCACAACAACGCTAGACAAACTGTTGTCAGTCTGGTCTTCCAACACCAAATCCAGTCAACGCCACTTACGCACAACAATTTTCCAGACTTCCTCCCCATTCCCACTCTCTCTCTTTTTCTCTCTCCCCCCTCTCATATATTCCCTTCTCCTCAGAGAAATTTCACCCCACCCCAAACAAAAAGAACATTCCTGTATGGTACATATCTGTGCATTTTACTGTATAAAATAAGAACTGCTGGGTTAATCAACTCAAACAGCAGAAGCCAAAATGAGCAGGTATGTCCACTTGATCTCTCTCCTCTTGTTTTTCTTCTTCTTCATTCACTTGGTGTCCTCTCGACTACCCACAAACCAGATTTCCACCATGAACAGGCTCTATGAACTTCTCCACAACAATACAGGTCCTCCTTTTCCATGGAATGTGACCAAAAACCCAGACCCATGTTCATGGAAGGGAGTTACATGCAGTCCCAGCAACTCTTCCATCATCGAACTTTCTCTCTCTTGGTTTTCTCTCTCATCCTCCGATATTTTATCTGAGTTTTGCAAGATTGATACTTTGGAGTCTCTTGATCTCTCCAACAATCATTTGAGCTCAATCCCTGATCAATTCATCACTGATTGTGGAGGGATTAGTGGGTTGAAAGTATTGAATTTTAGTAGGAACAGATTGGTTGGTTCTTTGCCTACTTTTTATGGTTTTGGTGTGTTGGAGTACTTGGACTTGTCTCATAATTATCTGAGTGGAACAATTGGTTTACAATTAGATGGGTTAAATGGATTAAAGACGTTGAATCTTAGTGACAACCAATTCAATGGGTCAGTTCCTACCCACCTTGGAAAATTAAACCTCTTAGAGGAGCTAGAGCTTTCCACCAATTTTTTTCAGGGCGATATCCCCCAAGAAATTGCAAATTATGGGAATTTGACTCTGATTGATTTCAGTGTCAATCATCTTTCTGGGTCAATCCCTGATAGATTTGGGGAGCTCTCAAAATTGAAAACCTTGATTCTATCTGCCAATTATTTGAGTGGTGAAATCCCCCAATTCCTTTCTAGTATTGGGACACTTTTGCGATTTGCAGCGAATCAGAACAAATTTAAAGGTACTGTTCCATCTGGGATTGCTAGGTACCTCAGGAATTTAGACCTTAGCTATAATAAGTTGAATGGGACAATTCCAGGGGATTTTTTATCCTCCTCAAATTTGCAGTCTGTGGATTTGAGTAACAATTCATTGGAGGGGTCAATACCTGCAAACATGTCTGCAAACTTGGTTAGGATTAGATTGGGAAGCAATTCTTTGAGTGGGATAATCCCCTCATCTTTTGGGATGCTTCATAATTTGATGTATTTGGAGCTGGACAGCAATAGGTTGAATGGATCAATACCTCCTGAGTTGGGTTCATGCCAGAACTTAGCTTTATTGAATTTAGCTCAGAATAGACTGAGTGGTGGTATACCGCCGCAGTTGGGTAATCTTAGCAATGTTCAGGTTTTGATGCTTCAATTTAACAACTTGATTGGTGAAATCCCATTTCAGATTACTCAATTACATAGGTTGCAAAGATTGAATATGAGCTGGAATTCGCTAACTGGTTCGATCCCTGCTTCAATTTCAAGTTTGCAGAGCCTTACCAACTTGGGCTTGCAAAACAACAATTTTCGTGGTCCAATACCTTCTTCAATTCGCAGCTTAAATTTTCTCATAGAACTCCAACTTGGGAAGAACCAACTTAGTGGGACAATCCCAGAGCTGCCACCAAGATTGCAAATTTCTTTGAATCTCAGCAATAATCAGTTTGAAGGACCTATTCCACACTCTCTTGCTGGATTAACTCAATTAGAGGTATTGGATCTCTCCGACAACAGGTTTTCTGGGGACATTCCTGATTTCCTGACTCAGATGACAGTTCTAACGCAACTGTTGCTTTCAAACAATCAGCTTTCTGGAGTTGTTCCAAAGTTTGGGCCACATGTAAATGTCAATATAACAGGGAATAAGGGCCTGATTAACATAACATCGAGCTCTTCACCCCCTTCGCCAAAGAAGAGAAACAAAGTTGCTGTAGCGATTGTCATTGCTGTTGCAGCTGCTGCCCTGGCGGTTGGGGTAGTTGCCCTTATTGCTGTAAAGGTCTCCAGACGGTTGTACAGAATTAATGACGAGCACTTACAATCTGGAGAAGACCTTCATCAACCCCAGGTCATCCAGGGCAATCTTTTAACTGCAAATGGCATGCATCGGTTGAACATCGACTTCAGGAAAGCCATGGAAGCTGTGGCTCACCCCACAAATATCATCTTGAAGACAAGGTTCTCAACGTACTACAAAGCTGTCATGCCATCTGGTGCAAGCTATTTTGTCAAGAAGCTTAACTGGAGCGACAAGATATTCCAATTGGGTAGCCATGGGAAATTTGGAGAAGAGCTAGAGGTCCTCGGAAAGTTGTCCAATTCAAATATTATGACTCCTCTGGCCTATGTCTTGACTGTTGACAGTGCTTATCTCTTTTATGAGTTTGCCCAAAATGGTACCCTTTTTGATGTTCTTCATGGTAGGTTGGGATATGATATGGATTGGGAAACTCGTTACAGTATAGCTATCGGAGTAGCTCAGGGCTTGGCTTTTCTCCATGGATGCCCATCGGGTCCAATTCTCCTCCTTGACGTTTCCAGCAAAAGCATTCTGCTGAAGTCCCTAAAGGAGCCGCAAGTTGGGGACATTGAGCTTTGTAAGGTGATCGATCCTTCAAAAGGCACAAGCAGCCTTTCAACTGTTGCTGGCTCGGTTGGTTNCCATCGGGTCCAATTCTCCTCCTTGACGTTTCCAGCAAAAGCATTCTGCTGAAGTCCCTAAAGGAGCCTCAAGTTGGGGACATTGAGCTTTGTAAGCTGATCGATCCTTCAAAAGGCACAAGCAGCCTTTCAACTGTTGCTGGCTCGGTTGGTTATATTCCTCCAGGTAATGGTGTGGTTAACCTTATCTTAAGGTCATTATGATGAAATTATCTCTTTTGATTAATTACTAATGTTTTATATTAAATTTATGTTCCTGCGTGCAGTTGATTTTTCTTGAATTATTCGCATATATAAGTAATATGATTAAATGCCCAACTTTCCATAATGATAAGATAGACTTCTTTTCCTAGCATGCATCAGTTTCAGTCTTATTATCAAGTTTGTGCTAAACGTTGGCGTCATCTTGAAGGTTCCCACAGCTGAATTTACCATAACCCCAAAATTTTGCACTAAACCTTACGAGTTTTTTTGCCTTCTGTCTTTCAGAATATGCCTACACCATGAGAATAACAATGGCTGGCAATGTCTATAGCTTTGGTGTCATTCTGCTAGAATTGCTGACAGGAAAGCCAGCAGTTAGTCAAGGAACCGAATTGACCAAGTGGGTGTTGAGCAACCCGGCGCAGCAAAATAAGTGGGATAACACTCTTGATCTCACTGTGAGCAGAAAATCAGTTGCCATTAGGAGCCAAATGGTGGCAGTCCTGAAGGTTGCTCTAGCTTGTGTCAGTGTCTCACCCCAAGCCAGGCCGAAGATGAAGAGCGTGTTACGAATGCTCCTAAATGCAAGGTGAGCCGAGCTGAGCCTTGGAGATAAAATATACTTGAGCGCGGATTAGAGCGATATAGGACCATGAGTTTGCCACTTTGTGTGTTACTATTGTAGATACATAGAAAGCTTCAAGATACGGAATATGAATTAGAGCTGTTGGATTTTAGAATTCAACCTGGATGTAATATAGATGAGTTGTTTGAGTTGTGATGGAAGAATCAATCCATCATATGAATTCAGCGATTTGCCTGTGTCTAATGGAATTTCTTCCTTTTTCATATAAACTCCATGATCTTTGTATTGGTTGCTTATATTATTTTGCCTGCATTTGATTTGATCTCTTTTTAACCTCTCCATCATAGGCATTGATTTAAGATCCTCAGACGTTTGATACGTACAGGCTGGTTTATATTTACCTTACTTAAAAGAGACCTTTAAAAAGGAAATGCTGGCNCGTTGGCGTCATCTTGAAGGTTCCCACAGCTGAATTTACCATAACCCCAAAATTTTGCACTAAACCTTACGAGTTTTTTTGCCTTCTGTCTTTCAGAATATGCCTACACCATGAGAATAACAATGGCTNTGTTGGCGTCATCTTGAAGGTTCCCACAGCTGAATTTACCATAACCCCAAAATTTTGCACTAAACCTTACAAGTTTTTTTGCCTTCTGTCTTTCAGAATATGCCTACACCATGAGAATAACAATGGCTGGCAATGTCTATAGCTTTGGTGTCATTCTGCTAGAATTGCTGACAGGAAAGCCAGCAGTTAGTCAAGGAACCGAATTGACCAAGTGGGTGTTGAGCAACCCGGCGCAGCAAAATAAGTGGGATAACACTCTTGATCTCACTGTGAGCAGAAAATCAGTTGCCATTAGGAGCCAAATGGTGGCAGTCCTGAAGGTTGCTCTAGCTTGTGTCAGTGTCTCACCCCAAGCCAGGCCGAAGATGAAGAGCGTGTTACGAATGCTCCTAAATGCAAGGTGAGCCGAGCTGAGCCTTGGAGATAAAATATACTTGAGCGCGGATTAGAGCGATATAGGACCATGAGTTTGCCACTTTGTGTGTTACTATTGTAGATACATAGAAAGCTTCAAGATACGGAATATGAATTAGAGCTGTTGGATTTTAGAATTCAACCTGGATGTAATATAGATGAGTTGTTTGAGTTGTGATGGAAGAATCAATCCATCATATGAATTCAGCGATTTGCCTGTGTCTAATGGAATTTCTTCCTTTTTCATATAAACTCCATGATCTTTGTATTGGTTGCTTATATTATTTTGCCTGCATTTGATTTGATCTCTTTTTAACCTCTCCATCATAAGCATTGATTTAAGATCCTCAGACGTTTGATACGAACAGGCTGGTTTATATTTACCTTACTTAAAAGAGACCTTTAAAAAGGAAATGCTGGCTCTACATGGTCTGCATAACAGAGGGAATAGTGTGCCTAATGATGATGTGTTGCCATATAGTAACAGTCTTAAATCTCAATTTTTCTCAAGGAACGTTTTAAGCCTTCGGTTAAGCTTGCAAGTGTTTCAATATAGATATCAGCTAGGACAGACAATTTTGAATAGGACCCGCAAACATGACACAAAATCGACAGAAAATTAGCAGGTGGTAAATGGATAAATTCATAAAAAACGCTTAACAAATGTATTGACAGAAATCGGGCTAAAGACAACTTACAAATGGATCAGCACATAGCTGCTTGCAAAGGGACATGCTACCTTAATGGCTACTGTCCATGAAATTATGTGTGCTGGCTACAAACAGCAAACTGTGAGACTCGTGCCTTTTTTCTCATTTCTTGGTAACTTTTGACCAATACATTACACATAGAAAGACAATGCTTGCTAAAAACTCCATTATCACAGCAATTTCTTAAAAAAGATAACTGAACAAGGAGATTTACAAGACAAAATCAATGATCAACGCTTAATTAAGCCACAATTTAATACAATACAAAATATATCCTCAGTGTCTGAAACTTAACAAAAGCTAATTTAAAGGAAAACTATAACAATATTGCTCTTCAGAATTCTGCTCCTGTTGTTCTACATAACTATGTGCAGATAGTGATTAAGTCTTGACTTCACCCCAATGGTACTCAATAAAGATCCCGGATGATAATCAAATGGATGAGAGTCACNAGTCTTGACTTCACCCCAATGGTACTCAATAAAGATCCCGGCTGATAATCAAATGGATGAGAGCCACAAAACAGTAAAAGAAATTTATCTCAGAAAACCAGGGGGACTAAAGGGTAAGATCTTTAGGGTCCTCGATTATCTGAGCCAGAGATTGCAAGAATGAAGCTAGATTGGAACCGTATATGACGCGATGATCTGCCGTAACATTTACCTGTAATTATTGCTTCGTCAAAATTCATTACTCAACAAGAAGTTACTCGCAAAGTCTAATGAAAAAATCAAGACATCAAATACTAATAGTGGAAATAAACAAGAGATTAACCTGCATCTGACTTCTCATGCCAATCCGACCGTCCTTTGTAGCAACTACAGAGGGCTGAGATGCTCCAACAGCCATGATTGCACCCTGTACAAAAATAATTCCCATAGATCAGTTACATTTGCTCAATTTGGTCAAATGACAGGTAATCTAGTAGAGAGGATGAATTTAAATTTAATTGCAAACACTTACAGTTCCTGGTGGTAAAATGGCATCAAAGCGATCCACACCAAACATTCCAAGATTTGAAAGGGTAAAGGTACCTGGCATACAAAAAGCCTGCCATAATAAGCAAATGTTTAATCTGGTCGTATTCTAACTGTTGTAACAAACATGAATGGGTTACAATTGACCAGAAGGAAGCCCACACCACATCAGCTCACATGAAAGATCAAATAATTGCCTTTTAACAAAATTCTCTCCATTCACAATACTCAAGGCCTCTGCATGACATGGCCCCCTAACTGGATTTCTTGAGAACTAGTAACAGTATAAGGTTTTTATTTAAACCATCACGCAGAACTACACTACCTAGAAAAGCTTGCTGAGACTACCAAAAAAAAAAACAAGTTCAGTCTCCATCATTGGGGGTCTGGGAGAGGGTAGATTGAGAACCAACCTAAACTTCAAATTATGTGCACAAAATGGCCGACCTCAGTTTCAAACCCGCAACCTGAAGGTTTAATGGACTGAATTTTAACAAAGAACCTGGCCAGCAAGCCCAGCTGCTAAAAACTTGTAGCTGAGATTGTCCCATCAAAATTGCAGTAATCGAATATTTTCTTGGTCATGAACCAATATTTTACTAATCCATGAACATAATACAGTGCCTCATGTCCACACTGATTTTTCCCTTTCTTAGCAGGCCTCTAAACGGACTAGACAGTTCAGATTCATGAATGTGTCTTTGTCTGACTTACAGAGCTTATAGAGTACTGCTCTGCTATCTTTTTTGAAAATAAAAGATTCCAATATTTAAAGTTCTTCCTACCTCCAACAATATATGTACAAAAAACAATGGAAACTCCTGTCACTAGATTGAAGCTATTAGACTAAACTGTTCAATAGTCAGAACAACCACACTGACATGATCAAACCCTGCTGTTACTTGGATCTCTGGGGCCAGTGTCCAATTGATTCAAGAGAATACTCTCCAGACAAAACAATAAAACATGTGCCCATCATAGTTCACTCTCAAAACAATAAGATTGGCTCCCCCTTACACACACCAATTCTAACCAAAACAAAAGCTGGTAAGCATTCCTTTTCCATACAAACTGAGTCTTACTAAGAAAAGAAAAAAGGTGCTTGATGTTACCGTCCACAACTAAAAGTTGGTAATTAACCAAATGAGTAGAGTCTACGAAATTAGAAAACCAGATATCTTACCCTATCATACTACAACAAGCGAAATAGAATGCATATGGCTTTTTGGCTAAATTGGGGCGATCCGCAAACAAAAAGTCATCGAATTGACGATTTTTTATGCGAATTCGGCAGGTCAACCCCCCTTGCTACTTGTTCCCCCAGTGACACATCAACCACACCCTTTCTCTCTCTCTGATCATAAAGCCCCCTAATCCTTTGTCTTTTTCCTGTGAAACAAAGCCAAGACTTTTCTGCCCCCCATCCCACTAGCACTACAAATGGTAGGGGAAGTTGCACCACTAAAAGAAGTCAGAGAGGTAGCTAGACCAAGTCCATTACTGGATCATCCAACAGCAACCAGATTCGGCGTGATGAGGAATCCCAGAAAAGATCGATTGAGATCCCCCCACGGTCCCACGAAGATCTCTAATCATCCAGTCCAAGACAACTGAGATCTTCCGGTCTGGAGCAGCAAAATACAGGGCATACAAGATTTTCTTCATGTTCACCTGAGTGAAGTGGCTTTGATACTTTCTAGGATCCACAAGTGGATTATTTGCCTAAACATGTTCTCTCCTCAATGCAAAGTTACCTGAACAATAGCATTTTAGAAGTGTCAACTATTAAGAGATTATTCTTCAGGACCTTCAAGTGTTCAAATATCCCCTCGTTATCAATAAAGGAAAAGTTGGGGGACTCATGGTCTATAAAAGATGTTCACCTCACAAAGTCTGGACTAGGCTATTTATCTAATTTCTTCCTTTTTTGATATGCAGGCTTGGGCTTGCCTAAAATGGAAGGGAAGTCGAATTGGCACGCAAATAGGTATAAAATGGTGAAAAAACTAATAAATTTGAAGCCAGTTGCCATGTTTCTTTAATAAGTTAGTTAAAATAGTAATCATCTTGTTGTGCTTAGGGCTTAGATGGTTGAATCCAAACACACATATTCCTTCGCACAATAAGCATTAATGGATGTCCTAAAATTCAACCCCATCACCTCACAGAAGTCANTATCTTGTTGTGCTTAGGGCTTAGATGGTTGAATCCAAACACACATATTCCTTTGCACAATAAGCATTAATGGATGTCCTAAAATTCAACCCCATCACCTCACAGAAGTCAACCCAAGCTTTTAGCACCACAACAACCAACCACTCTTCCAACCTTTTTAAATGGCAATATCGAGAAGGAGCTGGGGTTGAGTTGAACTATTTTGATTTGAATGCATAAAGAAAATTTTCAAGGATAAGCACTTGGAATCTTGGATAGGTAACCAAGCAAGAAGAGCTACCCATCTAACCCTAAACTTTACAGCAATGCATGGAAAATTTCTAGAAGTACAAGTGACTTCTATACGATTTCTTAACCACCACACTGCTTATTTTTATGGCAGTCAATTATCGCCAACTCCAAACTTCATGATTGTAAAATGTCTCCTAGAGAAGTAATGCTATATGAATTATTAATCCAACCATAGACTTGCACAGAATTCTAGATAAGGTTCGAGTTCTACAACAATGGAAATCTCAATCCTCTAATATGTAAAACGTTGGAGGTAATAATATATATATATATATATATATATAAAAAGAGAGAGCGGCACAATTATGGAGGCTATGCACTTCACTATAGCCTTTGGTGAGAACTTTTTACACAAACCATTAGATTGTGATCTAATACCCATAAAAATTATGAGATTGATTTGTTTCTACTACAAATAAAACCCATAAAAAATCTAAAAAGAAAGTGTGGTACTAGGCTCTGGTTACGGTACCGAAAGATTATTTTTTGGTGCCGTAAATTCATTTTTCACCCAATAAAAACACAGCACAAGTAAATTTTTTATTTTTATTTTCTTTTATTTCTGTATTTTTTTTGGGTACGTTACTGTAGCCATATAAGTGGTTCTATCTTGCTAACTTGTGAAATGTATCTTTCGGTAAAAATATGTCTACTAAAATATATTCCAACTAGAAGAAATTGAGATAGAGAGAAGAGATTTAACTCCTTTTTTTTTAGGATTAAAAGATGGTTGGAATTGGACCATAATACAATTGGATATAGTAAAGCAAAGAGCTATAAAGGTTGATAAAACTAGTTCGGGACACTGAGTTGACCATCTGACAAAATCGAACTAGGGTGAAGAATCCTTTTGTTTATTTTAAAATATTTAATTATAAAAACAAATAGACTTTCCTAATATTATTAGGATTATATTAATATGCTATTCAAATTTCCTTTTTAGTCAAGAGTTAAACTTGGTAGCTTTTTACATTAAATTTTGGTCTTTTTAGATTGATAACCAAACGGTTCATGTAAAAACTTCCCACTAGAGGCTATAGTGCATAGTTTTCATATATATATATACTAGCAACAACCCTATGCCTGTTGACACTATGCAATATAAAAAATTAAATATTAATTTTGTAATCTTTTAAATAGTAATTTGGTTTTTTTAATTATGCAATTTAAAATTAAAATGAAGAGATAGGTGTAGATTAATGAGATTGTTTAGCATTACAGAGTGTGTTGATGTATTGATTGACTTGTTTGACATTGGGAGCTATACATAGAATATGATGTTTTTGAGTGAAAAAAAATTTTATGATGAATTTTGTACCATTGGATCAAAGTAGAAAAAGATTGGATCAATCTTGACCGTTCGTGTGCTTTTTTATAAGTTGATAATTCAACTTGCTAGCTGTAATATTAAATGAATATATATACATAGGACCAATTGTTAGCTCTATTATCTCCGGTACCCAAATGAAATGGTGCAGGGTTTAAGTGCCCAATGGGACATGAGTGCTTGAGTACCACTTATCCAAATAACACAAATCTTAATTAGTTATAATACTATGCTTGAAAACCATTTCAAAAAATCTTTGAACATGTCTTTTCAGTTGGAGCTAAAGCAAATCCCTACTTATGCCCGATGCCAATAATCATGCATAGGATTACAGAACATTTCCAATGGGTATTTCCATCGTAAATTGTCTGTAACACCCACTTAGAATGAAATTAACAGTGGCAAAAACAAAAAAGAAGAAAAAGAAAAAGAATATGTATACAAGACTCTAGATCAACTCAAAGCTGAAAAAGAAGTAGGAGGAGGTTCATATATTGTCAAATATTGTCCACCCTAGGCTTCAGGTGTGGGTAACAAACAAAGCAAAATTAGATGCACCTCTGAGTTTTTTTCATAGGGACCTAGTAGATTTGACATTTCCATGATGCAACAAAAAGTAACTTAACTGAAACATTAGGTAGGCACGGTGTTTTCACCATGACCCAATAAATTGTGTTACCTTATTGATAGATCCCCAATGCTTTGGAAGTTCTGAAATTTTAACTCTCTTGGAATCCCAAATCATCCAACTCAAAGGCTGATTTACTTATCAAGAAAAGAGATCTAGCCTTACATGAACTGTTAATCCTTGTCCTTGCTTAAAGTTTTTCACTTAAGCTGGTCTTTTAATTCCACATTACAATTTCAGTTCCTTAAAATCAAAGTTACAAAAGCCAGCTGTACAATACCTAAGAAACACAATTGAGGGACTGCAGGAGCAGGATTACAGATGCAGTCAACACACAATGAGACTTAACACATTAGACATGTTTGTAGCAAGGATATATTAGGTACAGCATGATGAATTGTGGGGGAAAAGTTAATAGACAGGTAAGAATAACAAGCAACATTTATTAACCAATGCATATTGGGAAAAATAAACTGTATATGGAAATTATCGGACCTGGCAACTTTTTTCTCTTAGTATATGAGCTGGTTGTATATTCAATGAAACAAAATCACCCAACCTTGAGTTCCAATGTTCCCAAGAGAGCTCAAATAGCTAATGGCATTTAGAAATCCAGGAAATAGTGCTTTTCTTTCTCCACAATAGTTTGTTACTTTAATATCAGCCACTAACTCCCAATTATTACAAGCTGACGCCTAAACAACTAAAAACTGATAAAGATCTACTAGCAATAAGGAAAACAAATTGCCGCCATTTGAATTATTCAATGAAAAGCATAACTGAAGGGAACATGGAGAGCTCTACTTCAAAATGTTAGGGGTTGTGTAGGGAGCA